TTTTTTTTTTTTTTTTTTTTTTAATAAATACTAGTTTTTTTTTTTTTTTTGTGCAAAATACTGGAATAACATTTTAAATGACTAATTATTATATATTATTTTTATTTAATAGCCATAGTGAAACCTATAATCACAAATATTTGGCCAAGTTGTGCAGCCCTATCAAGCACAGCAATATTTTTTTTCAATCATAATTTTTAATCAGAAAAGCTGCAATTAGACCCCCCCCCCCCCCCCCCCCCCAATGTTGTGCACTTATTAAAAACATAATTTTACAGCTATAATGAAAAAATGTGCACATTTTTATTAAATCAAGTATCTTGATTTCTATTAAGTGAATTATCTACTAAATTTTATTAATAGTAATATTTCTTATTTTGGTTTTATTTAGTCATTTTAATATTTTTATTTAATAATACTACTAATAATATTGCAGCCATATTGATACATATAATTGATAAAAAGAGGACCTCAGATGATGCCAACCCTGAAACAACATACAGAACTACCACATTTTGCTATAAGTTTGATTGCATCATATAATAATTGCTGTTAATAAGTGATCATCATCTGTTTGATTACGTCTTTAATTGATTTTTCCGTACATTAACTGACAGTCACCACTGATAAGCTACCACTAAATATATTGTAGAAACGTAATTTGCTATAAAGCTGCTTTGCAATGATTTGCATCGTGAAAAGTGCTACACAAATAAACTTGAACTGAACTGAATAATCACAGTATTTTGTCCATATTGTTGTGTCTACACACAAGCATGCACTCAAGGTCACACGTACCGCTGAGAGCTTCTCGATCTCACTCAAGGCCTGTCTGTTTCCCGGCTCCAGCTTCAGAACCTGCTCGAAGTCTGCAGACAAACACAAACGCATGTGAGCTCCTCAGAAACGAGGGTGAGGCTGTGAAAGCGACCGAAGCGATGGATGGCGGACCTTCTTTGGCCTCTCTGGTCCTGCCTCGAGCGGCTCTGGCCGTGGCTCGTCTGGCGAAGGCTTTGGCGTACGATGCGTCGAGAGCGAGAGCCGTGCTGCAGTCCTGCTCCGCATCGCTGAACCTGCACAAACACACACACACCGCTCTCTCACACACTAGACCAGTGCTGGGGAAAGCTGCTTTTAAAACTAATGCATTACAATATTGCGCTACTTACTAAAAATGTAACGCATTGCATTACTTAGGTACTTTTTTTTTTTTTGGAAAGTAATGCGTTGCGTTACTTTTGTGTTACTTTTTCTCATCAGGGCTGGGTTTGCTTGTTTGTTTTTAATATAAAAAGTTATATTTTTGGCAAATGTGAACGCCCTTTCATACCAAAGGTGAAATGAATAAGCCTCAGGCTTAAGGTAATGTAAATATGTGTGACCCTGGAGCACAAAAGCAGTGTTGAGTCGCTGGGGGATATTTGTAGCAATAGCCAACAATACATTGTATGGGTCACAATTATACCTTTTTCTTTTATGCCAAAAATCATTAGGATATTAAGTAAAGATCATGTTCCATGAAGATATTTTGCAAATTTCCTACCGTAAATATATCAATACTTAATGTTTGATTAGTAATATGCATTGCTAAGAACTTCATTTGGACAACTTTAAAGATGATTTTCTCAATATTTTACATTTTTTTGCACCCTCAGATTCCAGATTTTCAAATATTGTTCTATCCTAACAAACCATACATCAATGGAAAGATTATTAATTCAGCTTTCAGATGATGCATACATCTCAATTTAAAAAAATTGACCCTTACGACTGGTTTTGTGCTCCAGGGTCACAGTGTCTGTACAGTAGAGGGTTGTGCGTTCTGGATTGCATGAAGAAAAGAAGTTCAAAACTCTTCAGTAATTACAACACAAATATAATGTGCATCTAAACATTAGTATGGTTGCATTAGATCATCGAAGGTCAGCAGCAAAGACATTGGTTAATAAAATATAATTTAACATTTAGAATTATTGCAGCAAGTTTTTATTCATTTTGAGGAATACCGAATCACTCCCGGTTTCCGTCACTATGGCAACACCGGAGCTGTCACTCAACACATGGGAAACAAAGTAACTGTTGTTAATTATTTAAAAAAGTACCTCAGATGTTTCCTTCTAAATTAAAAAGTAATGCGCTACTTTACTAGTGACTTGAAAAAGTAATCTGATTATGTAACTGGCGTCTCCCCCAGCACTGCACTAGACAGTGAGCACACTTCTGAGGGACGTCACCTGTGGAGTTTGAGGTAGGCCATGGCTCTGTTAGCAGGCAGCAGTGCGTTCGTCCCATCCGCCTCCATTCCTCTGGAGTAACACTCCACCGCTGCCTCATACTTGCCTTCTTTAAAGTAAGCATTTCCCTGAAACGTACAGAAGCAGTGTTCAGATCGACGTATTCACATGATGGAGAAGAAGAAGAGACGCTTCTCACTCTGTCCTTCTGCACGACTGCTTCTTGTTTCCTCTGCTGTTCCTGTTCCTGCAGCTGCTGTAACGGCTCTGCATCGCTCTCGCTCTTCTCCTCCGTCCGTCCGCTCGATCCCAGCACCTGGAACCAAGCATCGGTCACTGACGGATCTCACAGCACACACGCATCTGTCAAAGCGGATCACTCACACACCTGCTGCAGCTTCTGGAGCTCACTCTGGGCCTCCGAGCTTCCAGGATCCAGTTTGAGAACCATCTCATAATCTGCACGAATGAACAGAGACGAGACGTGAACTGGAGAAAGATTCGATTCGGGACAGGATTTTTATTTTTTCCTTTTTGATTTGAGAAGTATATAAAGGAAATTTACACTACTAGTCAATTTGGAATAATTGAGATTTGTAATGTTTTTATGCTGCATTTATTTGAAAACTGCTGCTTAATATTTTTGTGTAAACCTTTTAGGATTGTGTAACAAAAAAGATAGGATGACAAAATAAAGAAAATAACATAAAAATATAATAAGTTAAAATAAAATAATTAGAATAACCTAAAATAAGACTGGAGTATTATCTGCTGAAAATTTAACTTTGATTACAGCAATACATTTCATTTCTGTATATATTCATGTAGAAGTTATTTTATATTGTAATAATATTTCGCAATTTTACAGTCTTTACTGTGTTTTTGATTACAAAATAAAATAATTAAAATTAAATAGAATTACACAAATAAATTAGAATGCATTTAATTAAAACAAGACAAGTAATGATGCTGAAAATTCAGATTTGATCACAGCAATAAATGACATTTTACAATATATTTACATATATGTACTGTTTTTACTGTATTTGTGATCAAGTTAGGGAGCCTCGTTGAGCAGAGGACACTTCTTTCAAAACGTTTAATTATTCCAAACTTTTAACTGCTGTTGTATATAGCAAAGTTCATAAATGAAGGTAATTAAAAAGGCTTTAAAATGTAAAGTGTGAAATGTGCTATAGAAATAATAATGAGTCATTTAGACTGATTTGTGAACCAGTTCAACTGAATCATTGAAAAGATCCAATTCGCTCACAAATTCAGGCACTTTTCTGCTGATGGATTATTTCAGATCGGAGCAGAACTAGATAAATATTCAATCACAAGAGTAACTTCGTTCACTTCCATGATTTCCTGATAAAGCGTCAGACCTTCCAGAGCGTCCTGGTGTTTGTTGAGCGCCGTGCGTGCCTCCGCTCTCCTGATGTACGCTTTGACGTATTTCCCGTCCAGAGCGATGGCCAAATTACAGTCGGACTCCGCCACGGCGAACCTGCGGCACACAAACACTCTCATCAGGACCGATCCACCAGAACACACCTGTATGAAGACGGGAGACGAGGCTGTACTTGTTCAGTCTGAAGAAGCAGGCCGCTCTGTTGGTGGGTAGGACAGGGCTGTACGGATCGGAGTCCATTCCTCTGGTGTAACACTCGATGGCGCTGTCGTACCGGCCGTCCCTGAAGCACTCATTCCCCTGAAACATTAAAGGGGTCCTATTATGCTTTTTCACTTTCTCAACTTGAGTTAGTCTGTAATGTTGCTGTTTGAGCATATAAAGATCTGCAAAGTTACAAAGCTCAAAGTCCACTTCAAAAGGAGATATTTTATTTAACAGAAATCACTTTTCAAAAACTACAACGAATGACTTGTTTGGACTACACCGCATATTTTGACGCAATATTTACACTGAAGTTCGCAGGCGGCTATGGTAAGGGCGTGACATTTCCCGACCAGGCGCCGAGGCGTGCCAATCACAACACACACTGGCCCAGCTAACCAGTCACAGCACACACCGGCCCAGCTAACCGATCACAACACACACCGGCCCAGCTAACCGATCACAGCAGACACTGGCCCAGTTAACCAATCACAGCAGACACCGGCCCAGCTAACCGATCACAGCACACCCCGGCCCAGCTAACCGATCACAGCACACCCCGGCCCAGCTAACCGATCACAGCACACACCGGCCCAGCTAACCAATCACAGCACAGATTACAGTTCAGTGCAGCTTCAAAAGGCTCTACACGATACCAGAAGAGGAATAAGAGTCTTATCTAGCGAAACGAGTATATGCTTTATAAACAAAAATGTGCGCCTTGCACTGCTCTGCGATGTGCGTCCATGACTGCACTGAACCGTAATCTTGACCTTCAACCGTTTGGTAGCCGCTGAAGTCCACTATAAGGAGAATAATCCTGGAATGTTTTCATCAAAAACCTTCATTTCTTTTCGACTGAAGAAAGAAAGACGTAAACACCTTGGATGACACGGGGGCGAGTAAATTATCAGGAAATTTTAATTTGAGAGTGAACTAATCCTTTAATGAAAAGTTAAGGCAGAAAATATGTCCTTTTAAGTGAATCTCTAATTAGGGGACAACTCTTGATTTTTTTCCTCCTCTTTTTTGTTGATGAAAATACAGAGAAATTTTGTATATATAGAGTTTTTTTAAAACCACACATGTGGCCCTGCAGCACAGAAGCAGTGTTGAGTCGCTGGGGTATATTTGTAGCAATAGCCAACAATACACTGTATGGGTCACAATTATACATTTCTCTTTTATGCCAAAAATCATTAGGATATTAAGTAAAGATCATGTTCCATGAAGACATTTAGTAAATGTCCTACCGTAAATATATCAAAACTTAATGTTTGATTAGTAATATGCATTGCTAAGAACTTAATTTGGACAACTTTAAAGATGATTTTCTCAATATTTAGATTTTTTTGCACCCTCAGATTCCAGATTTTCAAATATTGTTCTATCCTAACAAACCATACATCAAAGCTTTCAGATGACGTATACATCTCACTTTAGAAAAATTGACACTTACGACTGCTTTTGTGCTCCAGGGTCACATTTGAGTCTCATCTTATTTCACTGACAATATGAGATACGATTAGTGTTTAATGAAGTCAGTGTCATCTCGTCAACATTTTTCGTCATTAACTAAATGAACACCTTCTGTTTCTCGGTCAGCGCCAGATCTCTGTCCACCTGAAGCCCTTCAGAGTCCGACTCGTTGGAGTGGACCGGGCTCTCCTCCGCGTCCATGGCCTCCAGAGACTTATCCTGCAAACCAACAGCGTTCATCGGTGAAATCATCACATCTTTATGCACATCAGAGCGCGTGAATCAGAACGCAGAATCAGATTACCACATCAAATTTGTCCCAGGCCTGATAATCGTAGGATTTTATGCGCTGCGTCTCCTTTTGCTCCTTCAGGCCGTTAGTCTGGCGCTTCACGCTCGTCTTCGTCTTCTTATAATCGTTGTTCCTCACCGGCGGGAGCGTCTTCTGGAATAAAACACAGTTTAGCAAACAAACACCTGAATGTACGGAGCTCAGAATCTCGGAGTTTTACCGGCGGTTCGCTGATGTTTCCGGCGCGGAGCTGCTGGTCTTTCTTCTTGATTTCTTCCTCCCAGTTGTTCAGCTCCTTCATGAAGTTCTGCAGATCTTCTGCGTTCTGTCGCATCTGTGTCTGCAGCTCCACCGCTTTATTTCCCGACATCACTGCGCTCTTCTAGACCACATCAGACTCCCTGCAGCAAACACAACTGTTTAAAACTACTACAATTTACAAAATCATCCACCGCTCCGTAACGTGTAGTGGGGGGAAAACATCCTAAATATACCTACGTAACTTAAGTGTTTATTTATTACATTTGATCTATTTGCATCTGTCGATTTTTAAACTACAATACATATATTTCAAAGTTTTTATCTCCACTTCAGCAGCACGTACGGTTTTATTTTCTGTCTATATTCTGAAGGGTTTCACTGTGAGGGTTGTTTATATATCATTTACACTGATTTATACAACATTTTATTGCTAAAACATGATAAAAATGCATATGTTTATGCTTCTATCTGCATTTCAGCAGCATTTACACCAAAACATACAGTTTTAGTTTGTTTACATATCATTTACACTGATTTATACAACATTTTATCTGTAAAAATATGGTGAAAGTGTATTGGTGTTCTGTTTGTTGACAGTATTTTCGGATAAAAAAAGAAATCCAAAATCTTTCTGGAAAACCCTTTCATAAGCAGACAAAATCAATATATAATATATATGCAAATCAGTGCATTTTATATATTTTATAATGAGATATATCATTTCAGAAAGCGTGTAGCATAAGATGTAATGTCTCAATGTACTGTGATTAATTAATTAGGAAACTATAGTGATATCTATTAAAAAAAAGTTTTACCATAGTTAGCACCGGGTTACCATAGAAAACTACTGTCATACAAATAAATAAGTGACTATTATTATTTTGATTTAATATCTATATTACGTAAAAAAAAAATAATAATAAAAAAGGCTGACCATTATCGCTAATTATGAGTTTACAGTCCGTCTGCGGGAGCTACGGTTACCATGGTAACTCTTCAAAAGTTAAACTAACAACAATGCGACTCTGAAAAAGCCCGCGAACTACAGATTAATCAGCGAATCCGCAAAAGAAACACGACTCGAAATGAAATCTCGTCAGTCTGTAATTCTAGAATATTCGCTGTATCTGCGACCGAAACAACATCACGTGTTAGCAGGTTTATCACGCGCTGTGTGGAGTTAAATACAGAGCCGAACGACTCGCCTGCACGCTTCTAATTTACTTGAGCTCAAATATTTTAGTAAAAACATGTGCTAGCATACCTGTAGCGACGATGAAGAGCTCTAGATCAGTAGTTTGCGTTCAGCGCCATGACAGCACAAACACATCTGCGCGCATGCGCGAACTACGTCACGTACTACGCGACCACGTAATGGCGCCGAAAAAAGCGAGAAGTCTATAAATAATTATTTTCTTCATTACCCTTTTTTTGGTGTTTATAATGCTCGTCTTTTGTCAGAATATGAAATATATATATATATATATATATTTGTAAAAAAAAAAACAGTCTCTTGCGTGTGTCGTTTAGCCGGGGACTTTTATTTTGAAAACAGAACAGCCTTGACGAGATATTATTTTAAGCAAAATTATCTTATTTCTAAAATCAAAACAATACAAAAATAAGTAGATTCGGTAAAAGCGCGACCATTTTAATAACTGAACTACTTTACTCCCTCTGCCACCCTTCGCCTGCTTTCAGTCACGTGACTCACGCACGCCGGCGTGACCTCTGCGTGACCTCTGCGTACACGCGTAGCTCGGAGCGATGGCTGAAAACAGTGCAAAAGGAGATGAGTTTATTAATAAAGCGCCGCTGCAGGAGAACAGAGAGGCCGGAGAGCAGACCGCGGCGGCGGAGAGTAAGCAGAAGGAGGAAGACTTCGGCTACAGCTTGTATCCCGAGCGCGGCAGCAGCAAGTTCAAGCAGGGCTCGATCGGAGAGAGTCTCTTCACCTTTAAACACAAGTGTCACATCATGCTGCAGGTCGCCACGGACACTAGTAAGGGGACAGCAGCTGTGTTTCTATTATTACAATAAGAGTTTCTAGAGTTTATCTTACAGAAGTATGCAATAATGTTTTTGTAGAGACCTGTACACGCAAGGAGGGCTCGATCGGAGAGAGTCTCTTCACCTTTAAACACAAGTGTCACATCATGCTGCAGGTCGCCACGGACACTAGTAAGGGGACAGCAGCTGTGTTTCTATTATTACAATAAGAGTTTCTAGAGTTTATCTTACAGAAGTATGCAATAATGTTTTTGTAGAGACCTGTACACGCACGCACGCACGCACGCACGCACACACTCACTCACTCACTCACTCTCTCTCACTCTCTCTCACACACTCACTCACTCACTCCCTCACTCACTCACACACACACACACACACACTCACTCACTCACTCACTCCCTCACTCACTCACTCACTCACTCACTCACTCTCTCACTCACTCACTCTCTCTCTCTCTCTCA